GCGAAATTCAAAACAAACAGACAAACATATTATATTCACCAGATGATAATTCATACATCCTTATGTGTACTATATACATCACAACTTAATTCGCCCCCAGTGGCACAGCGGTATGTCTGCGGACTTACAACGCTAGGAGTCCGGGTTTCGAAACCCGTGGTGGGCAGAGCACACATAGCCCATTGTGTAGCTTTGTGCTTAATTACAAACAAAATAATACAAACAAACACAACTTAATTCAAACATCCTTATATCTTCTATACACATCTTAATCCAAATTACGTGTTCTTATAATGTTATCCTACTATCCTATGTCTACTATATACATCACATTAAAACTGTCATTCACTGGCTATAATTATCAGGCTACCTGTAAAAACTATCATCCACGTTCACTGGCTACAAGTTATCAGGCTACCTGTAAACACTATCATCCACGTTAACTGGCTATATTTTATCAGGCTACCTGTAAACACTGTCATCCACGTTCACTGGCTATAAGTTATCAGGCTATCTGTAAACACTATCATCCACGTTGTTATGATATAAAAGACTGTTTAGTTTAGATGTTATTTATTAATATATTTTTGTGAGTGAATATTTTATTATTGTTTAGTTTTATTATAATAAGAATTAAAAGCAGACGATTGTAGGAAGTTATTTTATAAGTCATTGATGTTGAGACTATCGAATGTCGCGTGCAATACATTGACGTCGAGAATAGAGATTTTTAGAATTCGGACAGACAATTAAGTGATAGACATATAAATAGTGTGAGACGAGCGGAAGCAGCAGACAGACAATAGCAGAAGAGAGTAAAGTTAGGTGCAAGGAAAAGTTCGGCGTGAAGTTAACTAAGATATAAATGATAGGCCTAATGTTTAATATTGTTGCGTCATCGAGGTCACGTGACTGGTGTGGCGCCACCTATTTTCTAGAAATATCCTGTACCTTGGCGAATGCTCTAGTATTTACTAGATATAGGGTAGTCTGGTATATAAAAGAGGGTGACAACGTGACGGAATGATAATGTGTGTGTAGGTAATGAGTAATTGAACTGCGGTCAGAGAGAGACGTATTGTTGAAGTTAACGTTCGTTCGTTATAGTGTTTGTTATAGCGCGACTGTTGAAGTTGAGTGTATCGTAAAGTTATATTCGGAAAGAATAAACCAGTTTTATTAAGTAAGAACTTGTGTCGCTAAAGTTTCGTCGGAACGAAGTTACGGAAAGTTAATTAACAAACGGAGACGTAACAATATGTTAGAGTAAATCTAACAGTGGAAATGGAGATAATAAGCGTAGCTCTAAAAGTAATTGAATCAGCCTGAGTGCACTTTGACAAAAGGAACAGAGGATATTTAGAAGAAAGAAGACCAAACGATTATGGTAACTCGCGCCACGATTGTAAGTGAATCATACACAGAATATTAGTGCGATAGTAATAAAGAAGATAGTTCGGCTTGTTAACTGAAATTCTAAAGTAACTGAACAGACCTAAGTAGACTTTTGACGAGAAGAAGAGAACTATACACATAGTGTTTATGATATGCCTATAATCTCTGTAGTGTGGATAATTTGTTGTACTTACATTTAACTTGTTCCGAATATATATATTATTTTGAAAACAAGTAGAATGTGTGCTGTATATTCATCATTGAATTTATCGTTAACAAGTCACAGACACCTACTGTAGAAGAATCCTAAGCCCAACAACAATACAGTGTATATTTATACTATTAAGAAGTATAAGTAAAAGCCTTTTATTTTGACAATTGGCGGGAAATATTATATTATAAATTCTGATACACGTTGACTGGCTGTAAGTTATCATGATACCTGTAAACACTATCATCCACGTTAACAAGCTATAAGTTATCAGGATACAATAAACCAATATATAAACCTTACCTGTGTAAACAAGAACTAAATTTCGACCAAAACAACTACGATATATTACATCCTTATTTCTCAAGGCTAGCATATGCATGTATGGAAAGGTTTAGAAAGTCTAAAAATAAATATAAATATCAACTTATATACCTTCTGGGAAGGGTACGTGTATAATATCGCCAATAATAAACGATACCGAAATTTGGAACTGGTGTCTAGAATTTCAACTTTGAGAACTTTTCTTCGTGTGTATTTTCATAGGAAATGTCAAAATTCTCCCAGGTACAGCGAATGTAGCTCCCTAAATTTAGAAACGTCCACGCAAGCAACAAACATACGTTAAACCTGTCAAACACAGCGTGTGAACATGAGGAAATCAACAAGCACGGAAGTGTATGGAACTATCCCAAGCGTGTAACAAGGGAAGGTTTAGCTTAGATATATGATATGGCTGGGTGAAGTTTGAAATTCCATAGATCAATTTCTAGTTCAAAACGTGTAATGAGAAAGTTAAAGTTTGAAACCTTGCATTCCTTACAAGCTAATAATCTTAAGACCGTTTTATCATATCCTTTCAAATCTAGTACAGTTTACTGTGGAATTATCATATAAGTCAGTCCATAGATTAATTACGAAAAAAAACAACTAAACCTTTCTTGTCAATGTTTATCTAAAATAGTAG